AAAATAAATGAAGGTTGCCTGAAATGGTGTGGCTAAATCCTCCATAAACCTCCAAATCTGCCGCAGGCGTTACGATGATTGAAGGTAAAAAGGATGGATAGTTCTAAAATCACATAGAGGTTGTCAAAGACCTTCCATCTCTTTTTCTTGATAAAGTAATAAATTTTATCAATAGCATGGGCACAAAAAAGGCTTGTATACATTGGATACAAAAAGAGAAATAACCTACAAAAATATGGTTCTTACGAACAACGCCCGATCTTCTATACATGAAGGAACCTTAAGGGTGCACCTAAAAGAAATAATAGATAAGAGGTTATTCCTTACATAGTTCATCTTAATATCTTCAAAAGCTCTCTTATCTTTTCCCCTCCAAATGACCCACATAAGAGCTAATGGAGCAACATTCCATGCCCTGTGTCTTCTCTTCCCTCTGCTGCAATTTCAACTGAACATTAACCCTTTCATAGTGCCTGGTGTAACCCAAGATATACCAAACAAACACAAGATTTCTCATTTCCCACCATAACCTTGAGGCTACAAAGCAATGAATGAGGAGATGGTCAACGTCTTCATCCAATCCTTGCGCACAAAATACCAACTAACATATTCCTCAAATTTTTGGCCATTAGAATCACCTCTCGTGTTGCACACCAAGTGAAGAAACACACCTTTTCTCAGAACCTTTTGGAATCCAATTCAATCTATGTGGATGCAACTCCATCACCATGAGTTTCCAATGATGTTCTTTGTTTATGAAACAGCTCAACTAGATTTTGGAATTCCGTCACTTCCCAATCTTGCAAGTTCCTCCGGATACACAAATCCCAAAAAAGTTCTCCATCTTGTATCATCTGCACTTGTTGGACTGTCATCTCCTTGGTGCGAGATTCTTAAATGTTAGGAAAAGTAAGCCTCAAAATGTTATCCCCATACCGTCGGTGACCTCAAAATCTTACCTTTCTCCCCTTCTCAACCCTAGAAGACATATGCCTGCTAAACACTTCCCATCCCTAACCTGCTATCACTTGAAATTAGTACGAACTTGCTTGGAACAAAATATGATGAAAATGAAAGATTTATTGTTAGGTGTGTATCTTATTTGGAGCAGCTTTAGCTGTTTGATGTAAGACATTGTGTAGAGTTTGTCCGCTTGGCCGAGTTAAGGCACCAGGTGCCGGTCCACCCTACCAAGAATTTGGGGGGTGTCATTTATAGAGCTTACAAAATAGGTGATATCAACGATTATTATTTTAAGTCACTGTTGGCATACTTACATTAGGTCAGGCGTTTACTAGAAGTCATGACCTAGAGAACTGTAGTTCTAGCAAGCCATATTTCATTACAAAATTATTGAGTATTGGAATGGAATAGGTCCAAACAGGGGAAATAGATAGTGAGAAGTCATATGAGTCGAGTTGTTTGAAAATGGAGGGTTTTTACTGATACCACCTAATAGATTAATTCAGAGATGACACTGATAAGTTTTCATGTGCTTGGCTGATTTTTTTAGCAAGTCTTTTGCTTATTTGTCTATCCCTCTTGTAAAAAAAGGTTTCCGTTGAGCCTTTTTAAGTTTTACCGGAACAAAGAAATGGAAAAATTACTTAAAATATTCTGTTACTTTTCTCAAAAAATAAAATAAATAAATTAAAATTTAAAAAAATTACTTAAAATATTGCTAGTATCTTTTATTCTTGCTTACATTTTATTGATGAAAGGAAATCCAGGGGTAATTTGCTATATGAAACTAGAGGAAAGACTATCTTAATGTTCTGTAAGGGTGGACAAAAAAGGTAGTCTTATAGGCTGGTTTGAGCCAATGTTTGGTAGAACAATGGAGGTCCACTGAAGAGCTGGCTGGTACTTATTTGCTAAAAAATAATGTAGATATAAACAATACTAAGTGGTAAAAGGATCTACATTACATCCCAGCTGAAGCTGAAGCAGTCCTTTTCCATCCTAACATTACCCTCTCTTCGAATGCATTCAAAGTGACTCATATGCTTGTATTCATTGATTTTATATGAGGGAACTTGTTTGTGCTTGATTCAGTGATTGAGATTTAACTAGATAACGAACATATCTAATATTGCTGATGTGTTTCATCAAATTAAATTTCTCATGTTTGCTTCATGCTCTAGGTACACGAGAAGGCAGCACCTTGTTGATGTGACAGAAATTTTTAATCTGCTTAATTGGGAAAAGAAACAGAGGCTTTTCAAACTAGGCTATATCATCCTTCTCCTCTTCATATCATTATTTTGGTAAGTAATTAAATAGTGCTTCATAAATCATATCCAAATTTCTCTGTCTAAGATTGGACTTATGGTACCAAAGCAGGCATCCTTTTTTGTTCTTTTTATTTTGGTTAAAAAGCCTTCTATTTGTTACGGAAGTTCTTACAAGTAAGACACTTCTTGACCGAGACTGTATTCTACAGGTTAATTTACAGTGCCTTGGAAGATGATGAAGAGTCTCTATAGGTTCTATTGTCCAGCCGAAGTATAAGTACTCGGTGCTGCTGCATTTGCTCATTTATGCTGGCTTGTTGTAGTTCATTATTCTTGAAAGTTCAGGGTTTAGAGATAGCAGATTCAATTGCAGATTTGAAGCTCTCCCGTCCCCCTCCCTATTCAATTTCCAAGCAACTGCAAGTTTTCAGGTTCTACATATGTACTGCAGGGTGTGATTTTGAGTGACATAGTACCTTCACCAAACTAAAATCCCACTATGCTGCATTGAACATGTTCTTCTGTAAGCTTATGTTCATTTGTTTTTGCTGTCCATTAACGCGACATTGCTAATTCAGGGTGCTATTAGTAGGATGGAAGATATTTTTCTTTGTCCCTTTTATAATTTGTCTCGTGATGTTGAACAAATGAAAAGCAGAAAACTGATAGAATTGCGATATTAGTTGATGTTCTTTCGATAAAAGCAAAAAACTGTGAAGATTGAGTTTAATGAAATGATGGGTAGTAAACAGAACAAGTGTTGTTGTAATAGGTTATTGATATGGAACGGTTTCTGTAATGTTTTCGTTGAACATTACTCCTCCGGTTTCTATTTATATGACACAGTTTCAATTTTTTTTTTAAAAAAACTTGTGGGTTAAATTTGTTAAACATTATATAGCTATAAAACTTTCGAAGCTTGTAGCATTAGATATGCAATAACATTTGTGTTTTTACAAAATTTCACATGAAAGATAAAATGAAAAATAGAAAATTATTTGTTTTTTAATTTACGAATATGACGAATCAAAAAGAAAAATGTCACATAAATTGAAATAAATAAAGTATCAACTTAATTTTATATTAAGCGCCATATGCACATGGCGCACATTCCTTGCGTTAAAGTTTAAATAGTCACAATGTTGTGATAATCTTTTTACACAAAGGAAAAGGATAAAAGCGATGACCATGAAGATGTAGTAGTGTTTTATCAATTACAGTTTGAGTTTTCAGCACTTAGGACAATGCTCATTAAGGTATAATATATAAACAAAAACTCAAACTTGACCTCAACTAGCAAGTAAACATTCCAATTACTTTGAATATATACGTCTAAACACCTCAACTCGTCTTCACTTTGTCACTTGAACATTTCAACTTGGAAAATGATCATATAGACACTTTCAAAATTTATGTGTCACGTCAATATGTCTCCAGGAGACCAAAGTGGGGATGAGTTGGAGTTTTAGTTGCCAGTTGAGACTAAGTTGAGGTGTCTAGGTGTGTACTCTCAGCTTACTTGCCAATTGCAGCCAAGTTTTGAGTTTCTTTTTATGTATTATGCCTATTCATAACTTTCAAATCTTTATTAAGAAGAACCATCTTTTGTGAGAGGTTGGGACAGATGAATGATCCTTCTTCGTCGATATTGTTCACCATGGAATTTCTTAGCTGGGAAACAAACTATTTGTTTAGTTATTGAGAAGTGAAAACTAACTCCCTAGTTTGTTACTTTTTCGTATTGAAGCCAATGCTACATCTAATGAATTTGATATAGTTAAGTTGTGCTGAACGCGTTTAGAGAGATAAAAACCTATGAGAAAATATCCATTGCCGCGTGCACTAGTACTAATCTTTGTGTAGCTACTATATATGGTAAGAAGAAAGAGGGCAATTCTTTAATGGCAACAGAAATCATGGCTGCAGACATCTATCTACTACCAAGAATTTCAGCAAGATATGGACTACATCAAGAAATCCATAATTGACAGCACGAAAGCATACTGAGTTCATGGAGGAGATAAAGAACATGCTTGCAGTAATCCTAACAGGTACAATATCACAGGTGGGTGGTGAAGCTCTGAGTACAAGAAGCAAGGTGAATCGGTAAGCGCTACCCACTAGAAATCACAATAAATTACCTTGACCTTCAGCAGGATCTTGAGGTACATGAGTTTGATGTACAATCTTCTTTATATAAATGTGGACATGATGGAAATTCTGAAAGTAATAGGGAAGTTCTACAATATGAAGGAGACAAGAAGATTTTGGAGATGAGCAGAAAGGAATCAAACAAAGAACAATGTGGTTCTTCATACTGTTAATTTTGACGAAGATTTTGTAGTATCAGGTTTGATTATGGTTGCTCCTGTAAGATTACTATAGGACCAGAATATCATCTCAAACTAAAAAGAAGATGTTCCTACTTCCTAGATCTTCCGTTATTTCTAACAAAACTTCATCTCCAGTCAAACATCGTTACATAAAGTAAGACAGGGAGTAGTCTAGAATGTCTCATCTGCTACTCCTGTATGGGTAGGGGAGAATTTAAGGGGCACTTATGCTACAAGAAAACTAAATATCGTACTTAGTTAGATGCAATTCCCACCTAATACATTTTAACCTTCTTTTTTGTTGTGGTCCACCAAGGTTCTACAAATCCTAAATACGCCTGTGTGTGGGCACTTTTCCCAAATACTTGTACTATGATGAGAAGGTAATTAATGGCCAAAGACTTGCCGTGAAGGCAACAATACAAGACACAAGTTCTGAAAAGCCAATGATCAAATATTTTTTGTCCCGAAGAGGATTGCAGTAGTTCACATGCATTGCCATGAGCAGGTGTCTGGCATTTGCTAAAATTAGAAAGGAAACCTCAACAACAAATGAAAATTATCTTTTTCGGGGCCATTGTACATCCCCAATTCTAATGCGAAACACCAGATGGGAAGGCACAAGATATACTTTCTAGAAAACTAGTTCAGATTACTAAAAAGACCTCACTGGATATGGATCAATAGGAAGCGAATGATAAGCAGCTCACATCTGCTCCTGCTAATTTTCAGGAAGGAAGCCCACAAGAATCTGCTTCATAGCAACAAAGAGAAATATGCCAAATTATTATAACTGAAGAAACAGTGTTTGGAAGTAAGTTCAATAATTTGTTCACAAAAACATTACATCTATTTGTCGTCAAGAACAAAGTGCTTCCTATTGCATAAATAGCACACAGAGTAAAGGAGAATCAATACCTGCACAGGACTGGCAGCTACCAATTGACCGTCAATCCGACCACCAATGACACGTCCCTCGGGGCTTATTAGAGACACACTCATTCCACCAGATAGGTTTCTCATTCCTCCAGTCTCAGAATGCACAAATGATCCAGCGAAAGTAAGTAAATCATACCGGCCCTATAGGAAGAATGGAAGAGCAAGTTTAAACGCAAATGTCAACCAAGACAATAAACTGGTTCCAGCACCCAAGGGAATGGAGTAAGCCATAATAAGAGAACCCATACCATCTCTGACAGAGAAATCATGTTTCATCAATAATTCCTATCACATACCGATTTGAGGGACTTGGATGATACCATAGTCTACAGGTACAAGAAAACACACATGGTCCATGCCCAAGGCAGTCAAAGAATGAAAACAAAAGTTTTAAGGTAACAAAAGCGCCGCGCCTTCAAATGAAAGAAAGTGCACCAATAAGATCAATGCCCTCAATCTGATTAGTCTTTCTCATTATTATAAAAAACTCTATTAGTTTCCAAAATTAACCTATATTTATATCTAAAGATAAATCTGAAAAATGGAAGAATAAAAAGTTTTAATATTTAAGCGACTACTTAGGCTAAATATTTCATCAATAACATTTCCTGACACCTAATTACCAGAATTGCATAGTACTACATCATTTGATAGGCCAGGAAAGAATACCATACAATGGAACCTCACGCGTAGAAGCAATCATCAAATGTATATGGCTCTTCAAAATGATAAGACACAAGATAATCAGAAGATTAACCATAACAAGAGCAAAGTAATAAGATGCAGCACCTCAAATGCCACTTTACCACCAGAAGTATCTGTTTGATGAAATGTGACACTGGAAATTACACCAGTTGCTGAGAGAATACACATTGACCGAGACCCTTGTTGAAAGAATGATAAAACCTTCATGCTGACATCCTAAAGAATTTATTGAAATATGAGCAATTTGTTATAGAGATGTATTGGCAAATAGTCAATTCACAGTGGCGGGTTAAATTGCATTTCATTGTTCAGGAAAAAACATGCATGCACTATCCAGGTATTACAACTTTTCTGAACACCCATCAAGTTTGTATCTTACAAGAAAGAACCCATTAAATGTAACAATTTGGAGAGACAAAAAATCTGGTATAACTAGCAATGTGAAAGAGATGCATCATATAAAACTTAAAGAAAGACGAGAAGGGAATTGCAAATGCAACTCATATCATGCTATAAAGAGAACTTTCATAGGTATGAGCTTTTTTTACAAGACTTCCAAAGATACCATTTACCTCTCCAGTATTAACCGTGATGATGTGGGTCATAACATTACCACGAATTATCCTAGAAACCCTTTGACCTGCATAAAGAACTTAGTAATGTAAAATGAACCTTCAAATATACCAACATTCAACTAACAGAATCATATTTCATAAAATTATGTTGGATGTCAATTTTAGAATATCATCTACAAAAGAGAAGATAGGAAAGAAACGATTCTCAATTAGTTTATTACAAATTCAAAAGAGATACCTTCAGATTAATACTCCTATAAAAGAAAATCAAAATAGCATGTTCCATGCAGTTTCTGAAATACCGTAGAATATAACAATCTTTTTCTCCCACTACCACCCTTAAAATAAATAAAGGAGAAGAATACTTGATGGAAAATATTACATACATAACCACTTCTATTGTGAAGTGTGATAAAGAAGAGAATAACATCTAATGAATAACATACAAAAGTCAGCCCTTTCATAGAAATTAGGTCACTTGAAATCATGAATAATTCCAAATTACTAGAATTTAATCATAACCAAAACCCTATATAACTAAGAATCTAGATATATTTTCCCAATGTGGAGTATATAGATCATATTGTTCAAGTTTGCCACACATAAACCTGATAAATTTAAGTCAAACAAGGAATTCATAAGAAGCCTTTCGATTGACTTTGCATAAAAGCACTTTATTGGTATTGTAATCAAAACTATGTGATGTGTTACTGCTAAATGAGAAGTGTTCAACTGACTTAACAGGTTAGATGACCTGGGTTTTTTTTTGCGAAAGAAAAAACCAGTTTCTATTGATTGGGCGATTACTTAAGCCTCGGAACAAGTTAGTTGAATTGGAATGCTAGCTAAAATCATAGTATGTGGAATAGATACATTGTTAGACTTAAGCTCTTTCACTGAATGTGTAAACACATGAAGAACAGTTTTTTTGACCCAACCCCAGTCCACAAATTCGAAGCTCGGGGATGTATTTGTCTCTTTATCCTACTTAAATACTAGATTTTGTGTCAATGGAAGACTTCACACACGTCCAATCACACTCTGGATATGCCCTTACCACTGAACCAAAACCTTAGAGGCTGCGTGAATAGCGATTTCGACAACAATTAAATTTTAGCATGGTTAATCAACAAATTTGATGACTAGATATAAAATGTTTGTCAAAACACTAAGCGTGCAACAAGATGGAAAATATATAACTAGAGAATCTCATTGGGAGTAATGGATACAAGACAGTGAAAAATACTTTGATAACATATAAAGCGAAAAAAGATAACTCATATTAAATTAATAATGAAACAAGATAGCAGAACTCCTTATATAGGATTTCAGGCTATACTAGCAAGTTAATTTATAAAGCTAAGATCATTACATAGATCAAGAACACCATTTAATATTAGATAAGACGCATACCTATAAAACCACTTGGTTCATCAGTGCGGACACGCACTTGGTTATTTGTTCTCATTGCTCCTCTTACAATTTGCGGTGGAATGGCGCAGTTTCCTCGAGGTTAAGGAGATGAGAGGCGATCTAGCCATATATTTATATAGGCATCAAACCTCAACCTAATGGGCCTCTGCAAAAACATGTTTTATTATATCTTCACAGTGCCTACACTACTGTTATCCACACCAATAAATGAAGTGATTCAGGCCCAACAAGGAATCCAACTTATAGATAGCTCAGTCATGTCCACCAACTTACAAACGGGCTAAATAAATATAGTTGGTGGACATGACTGAGTCGTCTATAAGTTGGATTCCTTATTGGGCCTTAATCTATTGGTGTTGATAACAATAGTGAAGGCCCTGGCCCTATGAAGACCTAATAAAATATGTTTTGGAGAGGCCCATTAGATTAAGGTTTGATGCCTACAAATATATATGGCTAAATCCCCTCTCGTCTCCTTAACCCCAAGGAAACTGCCCCATTCCACCGCGAATTGTAGGAGGAGCAATCAGCACACGTAGCCAAACGAGTGTGGCGTCCACACTGATGAACCAAATGGCTTTACAGGTATGCATCTTATCTAATATTAAATGGTGTTCTTAATCTATGTAATGATCTTAGATTTATAAATTAACTTACAAGTATAGCTTGAAAATTCTATACAAGGAGCCTTGCTATCTTGTTTCATCATTAATATAATGTGAGTTATCTTTCTTCCTTTTTTGCTTTATATGCTATCAAAACGTTTCAGAATATATAAGGTACCCAATGATTTTCACTTCACTAGAAGGGCCTTAAGTCAAGCGATTACAACTCAATTTTTCATTGTCTTATATCTATCCATCACTCCCAATGAGATTTTCTATTTATGTATTGTCCAATTTGTCACACACTCACTGTTTGACAAACATTTCTTATCTAGTCATCAAATTTGTTGATTAACCACGCTAGAATTTCATTTTATCGAGATGAATACAAAAATGTAAATTGTTGCCGAAATTTCTATTTACGCAACCTCCAAGATTTTGGTACAGTGGTAAGGGTGTATCCAGAGTGTGATTGGATGTGTGAACTCTTTCATTGACACAAAATCTGGTATTTAAGTAGGAGTGGGATAAAGAGACATATCCATCCCCCCCCTTCCCCATGAGCTTCAAATTTGTGAATTGAGGTTGGGCCAAAAAAATTGTTTTTCATGTGTTTACACATTCAGTCAAAGAGCTCAAATCTAACAGAGCATCTATTCCACATACTATGATTTTAGCTAACATTCCAATTCAACTGACTTGTTTCGAGGCTTACATAATCGTCCAATCAATAGCAACTGATTTGTTTTTCTTTCGCAAAAAAAAGACTAGGTCGACATTTTAAGTTAGCTGAACACTTCTCAAAGTGCAGTTAGCAATAACACATCTCATAGTTCTTATAATAATACCAACAAGGTGCTCATCTACAAAGTCAGTCAAAAGATTTAGAAAGTCTTTTTATGAGTTAATTGACATTCTAATTCTTTGTTTGAGTTAATAATCTAATTCTATCAGATTTACCATAAGATTCAAGAATAAGGTATATGTGTGTGATTCAAGAATAAGGTATGTGTGTCAAACATGAATATATGATTTATATACTCCAAGTTGGGGTCTGGGAGAATGTATCTAGATTCTTTGTTTATTTCTTCGTTAATAGTACAGAGTTTTGGTAATGATTAAATTCCATTAATTTGGAAGTTTTCACAATTTGAGGTGGTCTCACTTCTATGTAAGGAGTGACTTGTATGCTATTCATCAACAATTCATTAGATGTTATTCCTTTCTTTATCACACTTCACAACAGAACTAGTTGTGTATGTTAGTATATAATATTTTCCATCGAATATTCTTCACCTTTATTTTGTTTTAAGGGTGGTAGTGGGAGAGAAGGATTGTTATATGCTAATGTATTTCAGAAGCTGCAAGGAACATACTTGTCCCAATACTAAAAATTAATCTTGGGATATGTTATCCCAAACTTTGTAACCAAAAAAAGATTAAGGGGTACTAAAATTTATCCCAGGGTTAGCTTCCTTTATTCATCACACCAAACGTGTCCTAAGGGCTAAAAGTATAACACATCTACTTTCCTCATAAAGTTAATATGAGCTTTAACAATATTACCCCCTTTGGGCGGATGATGAGAAAATATTCCAGTAATAGAAATTACATCCCCTTTGGGCAGACAGATTTACTAAACTAAAATATTCTCTTTTAAGGACTCAAAATAACTTTGGGCAAATTATGATGAATGCGATACAAGGAAATTAATGACAACTAATGCGAACCTTCACAATATTACCCCTTTGGGCAGGTAACGAGAAAATATTGTAGTATCAGAAAATCCATCCCCTTTGGACAGATGAATTTTCTAAACTAAGGTATTTCTTTTCCGGCATCACTCTTCATCATCAAATTAAAACACACAACAAACCCCCTTTTGGGTAGGCTATTGTATGTAATAATCAATAACATCCCACAACTTGGAATAAGCCTCCCAAATCAAAGCAAATATACCGCTTTGGAGTACACTATTCACTTGAAATTACAAAACTAATTCAATCCTAGGGAAAAGCAAAAATATGCCCAACCAGACAAAACAACATGTATGTCAATAGATTCATAACATGAAATATGATTTTTAGGATCAACGAATGTATCACATTCGTTCTATCTTATAGCTCAAATTATATTCATCAACCCGTAATAAGATTTCAACAAAGCATGTCATAATTAATTTATCTAGTTAACAAAATTTTAACATCACGAGAGTAAATACAGGATAACGCCACATATAATGACTTATTTATTCAATAAGATAACCCTCTAAGATATGCTCACAATATTATGGAATATTACGATCTATCAATCTCATTACATATTATTAGCCTGTTGAATTTTAGATGAGAAAATACACCTCATAATAATTTTAAATAGAAGGCACATAACTCAAGATTTATGCTCAAACTTGTGATTCTAAAATAAGATTTAGAAAAATCAAGAAGCTAGAATGAGTAAGTGTGTACCATATAATGCAGAACGCCAAACATAATACTTCTTCATGTGAAAGTATTGCCTATAAAGTTAGCTTCCAAGACAAATAAGTATCTCGAGACCTTGTGAATCAATTAGATCAATCTAGTTATAATAAAATCACGTGTACAGAGATTATCACACTTCTACGAATTAAACGTGACATAAATTAATGATAATTATAGCATCATCACTAATGCCCATCATGGTCAGGATTGATTTTAGTACACTATTAAAAATGAAATCTAATTCCTATAAAATACTTATTGAATTTAATCAATTCAATGTTTTCAAAATATTAAGAATTTTGTACTCCTACACCAATGAGTACTTAATTTCACAATCTAAATTCCTAAATTACTAAATAGATTTGAATGGTATACAAAAGACAACTTTCAGGGTCAGACTTATATTCAAAATAAGGTACTACTCCCTCTGTCCCATTTTATGTGGCAACATTTCCTTTTTGGTCAGTCCCAAAAAGAATGTCACATTTCCTTATATGGAAAGTATTTAAAGGTACAATTCCTTTTTTATCCTTGTTGGTCCCACTTAATCTTAAAATAATACTCCAATACATTTATGAGGAGAGAGAAATTGAGTCTACTTTTTAAAAGGGCAATTTGGTAAACATTTCAAAGTCTTCATTTATTTCTTAAACTCCGTGCCCGGTCAAATGTTGCCACATAAAATGGGACGGAGGGAGTAGGTAATATGCACCTCTTAGGTCAAATATTATATTAGTTACCTTTAAGAAAAAAATGTTTTGGTTCTCCAAACAATAGTAGTGACATTATTCTTGGAACAAAGGTATGAAATAAGAAAAAGAAACCTGTTTATTCAAGTAAGGAACTTCCAAAAACTTTAGTTACTTAGAAATCACAATAAGAAGTAAAAGTAGTTGTATATTATGGAGGTTCAGACTAAAATCCTGTCATTTATCATTAAGCTGTAGATCAGTGAATGTACTCGTTTCGTTTATTCTATTACTAACGGCAGATCACTGTACCATATCTAGAAAATTAACTTCCACAGTTACACTCATGTCCAAGTGACACCTACAAGTTTTAAGATCCCCCATTTCACAGACCAACCCAAAAAAACAACACTTTGACATACAATACTTATTCCCATCTGGTGTTTACACCTAACTAACATTTCAACACGAAGAATCAACAAATCAGAGTGAAAATGCATGTTACATAACCATGGTTAAGTTCTAAAAAAAATTATATACGAGACATGTGTTGTATTGATTTGTTTGATGTAAACAACCAATGCAACGTAAGTAAAAAAACAGAACTTGTGCACATAATGAACAAAATAAGTAATACTAATGCAAAACAGCATGTTTTTAATCTTTACCTAAATTCTCAAAATCAACTTTGGGCTGATACACTGTAATAGCTGACCCCAACCGGCCGGACTTTCGCCTGTTTCTTCTTAGACGAAAAATCAATCACCTGAGAAGGTGCGGCGGATGAAATTGGCTCTGCAGAAATAGGCGTGTCTACTGACCCATTTGGTCCATTATTTCTGGGTCTACCTCGCTTTTTCTTCTGAGTGGTCACTGCCGATGCTGCACCCGACTGGGTTGCTACTGCTGGTTGAGCAGATCCAGTCATGCGATAGTCTGATGAAGCATCTGAAGCCGCCATTGTTGCTAATCGTGCTTACCAAAATTGTGCTGAAGGTAAAAAGATTGGGGTTTTCAGGAGTTAAAAATGCTAACTTTCCTCAGATGGTCCGATTCGTAATTCAAGGGAAAATGCCAAAAATGTCCCCCTAAACTATTGCAAAAAGTCTCAATATACTCTTCGTTCACTTATTTTATTAAAAATATACCTCTAATTGTTTTTTCCTATATAAATAACATTTTGTTGTTGGTATAATTTATATTTTAATCAGTAAACTAAATTATTAAAATTGACCTTTGAAGGTCGGTTTTTACAAAAATTGAATTTCTAATTTCTAATTTCATACTTTGATTTCATTAAGAGAACAATGTATATTCTAAGGTTTATTTAAATTGATAATTTTGAGCTAAGGAACCAAAGAATACTTCGTCGTGTATAGTTGAAACTTCATATATTCTGGAGTTCTAAGAAGAAACTTTCAGGGTAAACAACTCTTGCTATAACAAAATATCGATATTATAAAAGTAAAACTCGTATCTCAAAATTCAAACTAATACAATTAAAATTTTAGGATAGTGCCATGGAGTTCCATTAAAAATCATGAATTTTAGACAAAACGTGAGTTCGAAATACTGCAAGTGGACTTTATGAAAACTTTTTGAACGGGACATATTCTGGTAATTTTTTAACGTCAGTAAATTGTGTTGGAGTTTTACATGTAAATTTTAAATTTCAGCCTGTTGTGTTGGAATTTTTATGTTTTAGCTTAGAGAGTATGGTTATCCAAGTTCTATTTTCTTATTAAAAAGTAACTAAATTTCTAATAGTTTTAAAATGCTGGTTAAAATTCACTTAGATTCTGTGCTTTTACATGGACTTCTAACTTAGAATTCAGCTACTCCCATTAGAACATACATTCAAGTCTTGTGATCATAATATTTGAGGTGAGCGAATGGTGGCATTATAGTCATGAGCTTAAGACACGTATTCAAATTCTTTGAAAATATGAGTTCAAACCTAAATATTCATACTCCTTATTTCAGAAGTCTTTTCACTTAGTTATCTACCATGTATGCTGCACATAATGGTTCGATTGAACTTACTCCTAACATTCTAGCTCCACCTCTGAATTCACGAGCCATTTTCTTTAACCACCCATGAAGTTTTCCGATCATCATCATCTCCACCACCTTCTTCTTGATTGCAGGCAAGCGTATGTGCTTTATTAGCTTCTCCAACCCAATCAATCCTAGCAATCAACACTAACAACAGGGCCAAACAAGCAGCAACTCCAACCATGAACCCTATCAACAATCCTGCAAGGCCAAGTTGAACCTTGAAAGCCAAAATCACCCCCGATGGCAAAGCCAGCAGGTAAAATCCACTGATATAAGCATACGTCCCAAGCCAAGGCCGCGCTGTCCCACGGACAATTCCTCCACAAACTGCTAAAGGGAAGTTAACAACTTCAACTAAAGCCATTAGCAACATGATCCTCTTTACCCCTCTAATTACCCCTTTATCATGGCTAAACAGAGGACCCCAAATTCCTTTTGCTGCTGCCATAACCGAGCCACCGAAAAGGCCTGCAACGATACTCAAGCCTAACGACACGTATGCTGCCCTGTAAGCAGGGCTGGAACTATCTGCCCCTAGCTCATTAGATACACGAATGGATGCACATGTCGCGAGTGAGAGCATACCAGAGTAAATCAAATAATCAAAATTCAACACAATTGCTATAACCCCAACTGCTTGTTTAGCATTCGGGAGTCGCCCTGTTAGCAAAACCAAAATCTCATAACACCACCATTCGAGGCAAGTTGTAAGGCAACATGGTCCGCATAGTTTGATTAATCTGATCCAATCAAGAATCCCCTGTTCCCACCAGCCTCCTTCATTCCACTTTCCGCCCTTTCTGTTCTCTGATATCACAACATAAATAACCAAAATAATCATGATCAGTAAATCTGTTATCCAATACGCCATTGAAACTCCTTCTAGCCCCTTATTCATGGAAAGTAGCACATTTATCGGTATATGCAGAGCAACCCCCAAAGCAGAGGTTAACATAATTGGGACTGTAACATTTTGTGTGCTCAAATAAGCTTTCAATGGACACAAAAAAGATGTGATCACCAAATCAGGGAGAAGATAAACAAGATACTTTTTAGCTACCATTGAAATCTCTTCTTGCTGGCCAAACTTAATGAGGATCTTGTCAACATTAAGCCACAAGAAAGAAATAGGAATTGAGACAACTAGTAACAAAGAAACAAACATGACAAGGGTCTTATGAAGTAACTTAAAATTCTTGGCTCCAAAGGCTTGTCCACAAATAGGCTCCATAGCACCACTAAGTCCATTCAAGACTGAGAATCCAGTAACGTTCGCGAACGTAAAACCCAGCGTTGCTCCAGCTAAAGAAAGCTCACCAAGCCTACCGAGGAACGCAGTTGTGATGGCTATTTTTGCAAACCATGTGAAGTTCATAGCCATCAGAGGGAGTACTATTCCCCCTTGCAATTTCATTTCTAAAAGGGCATTTTGTATGATTTTTTCTGGCCATTTTTTGGTCATTGATTCAGGCATGGTAATGGTAGTATTTGCAATATGAGTGATGTTACACAAGAATGGTTAGCTTTTTAAAGAGCATAAGTTTTGTGGAGGAGTTGGTGATATTAAAAAAATGGATTTTCTTGTAACTGTCAATTGAAGAAAGAAAGCCAATTAAAAGAGGGAAATCTTGGTGGGGAATTTATAGTGCATGATGAGAATGCAAAGGCAAATCAAAAAGGGGTATTGCTAAAAAGAAGAAAATAACGCATGGCTCACAAATCTTTATGAAAGACCAACTGTTTTTTCTCGTGTTGTGTTTGCTGAGTGGAAAATGATTTCGAAAAAGATTATACATACTAAAGATTAATAATAATAGCAAATCAGATAGTGTTTTGATTAATCCGGGACAACATCTTGAACATGAATAACATAATATGGGGGCCTAACATTGGGTTAATTAAAAAATGGGTAAATCACATAAATATGCTATATTAAAGAAATATTTACCATCTATGACAATATAATTTTTCTAACTAAATATAACAAATTTTTGGAATTAAGAAATTGTACAGTCGCTTGCCTCTTTCTCTACCCTTTTTCATCTGCCTTCACTTTTTTTTTTATTCTTCTTCTTCTTTGTCTCTTTTTCTATCATTATTATCTTCCTCCTCTTATTTCTTTCTTTTTTAAAAAAAAAAATTGTTTGAAATTTTCATATAAATAACTATCTTCAAATCAATTTTTGCCCATATTTCATTATTTTTACCCAAAAATCCGACGGAAAAAAGAAATGGAAAGATGAAAATTTGTACAAAATCATATTTTCAAGCAAAAA